CGCCTGTCTTGCACATGCACAGTCACGCGTGCACACTCACCTCTCACGCACGTGCACGCTCACGCCCGCACACGTCATCTCGCACGTGCACRCTCACGCCCGCACACGTCATCTCGCACGTGCACGCTCACGCCCGCACACGTCATCTCGCACGTGCACGCTCACGCCTGCACACCCATGTCACCTGTCACACGCATTTAGGTCCTTCATCCACGCACACTCTCCCACACACACGCACGCGCACGCACGCTCACCCCTCCCACCCGCGCACCTGCTCTCTAGGATCGGAAACTCCTGCGGCAGCCGCTGCTCCGCCTTGGGCAGGCGAGCGAGGATCCTTGCTGCCCGCCAGGGCCTGCGGGACCAGAGGGAGCAGACATGGAGGCACTCCGGAGGACAGGGGTGTCCCGAGGACAGGGACCCACCGCGTCCGGGCCTCCCCACAGGCTCCCACCTCCAGGGCTTCTTGGGATCCCATCAGGGGACTTAGCAAAGTGGGGAACCCCGCGCTGTGCAGGGACAGCCCGCCAGGGCTTGCTGCGTTCGCCTCTAGTCGTGGCGGTTCCCCAGGTGACCCGAGTCTGCAGCGCGCGTGGACTGGATTCAGTTTTCCAGGGCCTTCTGCATCTTAACGAGGTCCAGAGGTCCAAGGAGTGATGGTCTCGCAGTAGGGCTTCACGATAACTCTAGGCCAGGGTAGGGGTGGGGAGCGCACCACGGTTGGGACCAGAACCACCAGGCCCGGGGCCAGCGAGGGACCCCTCACTTCCTGGGCACCTCCGGCCCCACTCACACGGGTGGTCCAGAGCTCCCAGGGAGTGGCTATGAACCACCCTGAAACTGGAAGGGCCGCTCACGCCTAAGACATCGCTTAGACCTGGGGAGAAGCAGCCATGGCTCAGGGTGCAGGTAAGTGACCCTACGGGGCGGAGGGGGGTCTGGAGAGAGGAGATGACACCTCAGAAAGCCACGCATTCCAGGTCAAGTGCACCCGCCTTCACATGTTCATGGGACAACACGCAGCTTTCGGGCTCCACAGCCGGCGGTATGGCCTTTCAGCATGTCGGCGTCCTCCTGCAAGAGCCCCGATGTCAGCGCCTGCCCAGGAGCAACTGCCACACCGGCTGGGCCAGTCCTGGGGGAGGGGCCTGCTCACCGCCTCCCAGGGGCTTCATGAGATGAAGGAAAGTCCGTCCTGCACACACGCACGTCCCCTGGGGTGGGCAACCTCACGGGCGTCCCTGCGCCCCACGGCCTGCTCAGCAAAGCCGCCCAGGAACGCGGCTGGGACCGCGGGCTGCAGGGACGGAAGGGGCCCAGGGAGGTCATTGGTGCTCCTGCTGGAGAGACTGACTGAAGCCAGGGGGATGCCAGGTCCTGCCCCGGGCACGGTGTGGCACGTAGCCAGGGGCACCCATCCTGTCCCTTTGCGGTGCCCTCTGTCTGCCCCGTTCCACTCTGCTGAGAGACGCTGGGCTGCAGGCCCCAGCTGCTTGCACAGGTCTTACGGGTGTGGGCGGCCTCCCTCCCGTCACTCCCGCCACCGCTGCTGGCCGGCTGGTGGCAACTGAATGACGGGGTTGTGGAGGGAGGCCAGCCGCCATTCCAGGCTCCTGCCCAGAGAGGAGAGCTGCTGAGTTCACCCACATGCGGACTGGAGTCAGGAACAGTGGGGCCTTTCCTTGGCCAGGAAGCTGGAGACTCAGGTCCCCCAGGTCCAGGGACTGGGCAAGGGCCATGGGTGAGGAGAGGAGGGCTGGAGGTCTGTGTCCCTCCAAAACTGAGAGGGAGGCCCAGGCTGGAGCTACAGAGACTCAGTGTGCCAACGCCAGGAGAGCATCAGAGATAGGACCTGGGAGATGCCCAGGGAAGAGAGTGAGTAGAAGTCCTAAGGGAAAGAGACATCGTACAGGAAGTGCAAGATTACAGCCCTACCCCAGGTGGTGGGAGGCCCGGAGAAGGGAGGCAGGTGGGGGCTTCCTGGGGAGGCCGGAGAGCCAGCTTCCGGGCCTGTGGGTGCCGATGTGTGGAGAGGGAAGCGAGGGGGTCACAGACACTGAGGAGAGGGGTGGGCCAAGTTGGCCAGACCCCTTCCGGGGCCTCCCAGTCAGGTCTGCAGGATTCCCCAGACTGCCTGAGCCGGAGACCGAAGGCAGAGTGAGGAGGCCATCTAGCGGCGGGGGCTGGGGGGGTGGGGGGGGGGGGGCTGGGAGGCCCCCGCGGGGGGGGTGGGGACAGAAGACAGGCAGCCACCTGTCCTCAGCAGGGATGCTGGTGAGGGATGGAGGGCTGGGCGCATGGAGGGGGGAGGGGAGGGAAGGAAGGAAGGACAGAAAGGTGGGCGGGGGCATGGAGGGGTGGGTGCAGATGACCACCGGAGAGAAGGGCAGAGCCCAGACAAATGAGACCCGGATCCTGAGTGTCGGGGACGTCTGGCCGGGTCAGGCACAGGCTGGGGTTTGGAACCTCTGACCTGCGTGGGGAGGGGCCCAAATCGTGGGGAGGGGGAAAGGCAAAGAGAGGGAGCCATCTGGTGTCTGGAGGTGGAAGACGGCAGGGTCTGGTGTCTGGGAAGTGGGGAGGGGGCGGGACGAGTGGAGGGGAAGTGGGGGGCTCAGTGGAGCCCTTGCTTCCAAGGCAATAAATGCAAATCACAACTGAGTTTTGTCCAGATTTGCCCCCAACTCACGGCAGGGAGCAAACGCCAGGAAATAAGGCCTTGGTGCTGGTGTCACCGTCCATGGTTACCTTCTGCTTAAGGACAGGCCATCCTAGGGCAGGTGGCCCCTGGCGGGCTCTGGGATGTCCTGGCTGGCCGCAAGAGGGAGTGGGATCTTAGGGTGAGGAGGCCAGCAGGACTGGGGACCCCTTGGTGACCCCCAAGGAGCGCAGGGCCAAGGCGTGAGTTCCTGCTCCCAGCCTAGAGGCAGCCCTCAGCGCCCAGCCCCCCAGGCTCCAGCCCTGTGCTGCTCAGTCTTCCAAGTGGCAAGGGGCGGGCCTGGGGTCCCTGCACCTTTGGGAATCACGTATCCCAGGCACACTCCTTCCAGCTGGCCCAGTGCTCCACGTAGCCTCCCAGGCCTTGGGCGTGGGGTCATGACCCAGTACTGCTGCCTCTTTTCTCCCGTGCCTGGTCTGCAAGGGAGAGGCTAGAGGGAGAAGGAGCAGGGAGGGAGCCCAGAAGGCTGGAGTGTCCTTAGGGCCCGGTGGCTTCTCAAGGCCCACCCCACCCAGCGCTGGCACAAGGTGGATGTCCCTTCTGCGTCTGTCTTCCCTGGGAGCACAGACCCACAGATGCCCACAGCCCGGCCATGGAGTCTGGCCCTTTACCCGCCGAATGGAGACCCTCCCTCATCCACCACTTTGATGGAATTGGGCGATGCTGCCCCACCTTGCCTAGAGGTGGGCGCTCCCCTGAGAATGTTGATTCTTCCCAAACCATAGGATGGGGGGACAGGGACAGAGCTTGGATCAAGTTCTGGGGGCCCGACTGGCTGAGCCCCCATAACAGTCTCTTCAAGGCCCAGCCAGATGGCTCTCAAGGTGCTCCCCTCCCTCCACACCCCACAAAGTCATCTGCCCGGACACCTGCCTGGACTGCTGGGGTGACGTCCCACCGTTTTGAGGGCCAAGCCTTCGCCCTGGCCTCTCCCACCTCCCTGGCTGGGCTGGGGTCCAGGGAGACCTTCAACTTCACAGAGGACATTCCAGGGCCAGCACTTCCATTCTCCACCAAGAGCCTCCCCCTCTCTCCCTTGCTTTTTTCGGGAGCAATTCCTCTCTAGGAGTGAGATGGGAGTGGGGGGTGAGAGGGGAGGGTGTGTTCTGCAAAATGGGAAACTTCAGGGTTTATTTTTCTGGTTTAAATAGGACTTTTAGGTTGTTGTTTTTGTTTTGTTTTGTTTTGTTTTTTTCCTGAAAAGTGCAGGGATCAGGGACCCCAGTATTGCTGGCTCTGAGCCCTGTGCCCTGCGTGACCAAAACAGCGCTCCCCCAGGACCCTGCCCCACCCTGGGCTGCCAGCCACGACTCTGAGGGCAGCTCTGCTCGCAGAGCCCCATGGAAAGCCAGCGCCGCCGATGTGGAAGAGCCTGGATTCCACATTCAGCTCATCCCTGGCCTGCACTTTGCTCCGATCGATCCGTCGGTGGGGGTGGCGTGCGCGAAGCCGTGCCCACTCGCCACTGCCCCCAGGCACAATGGGCCTCCGCCCACCATGCAGGCCCCAGCACCGGCTCCCTTCTCTGAGCTGGGGTGCAGCACCAGACACGCTTGGCCCAGCCAGCTGGACGGTCCCTCAGGCCACTCTGTCCCAGCTCCTGAGCATGCCTGCAACCCTCTTCCAGAGGGTTAAAAATAATGCATTAGCTGAAACACAATAAAGGAGAAGCATTTTGCTATTTTTCCCAGGCGCTTAAAGCACGTCAAATAGCAAGGCTTTAAGTTGTGGTCAGTGAGAGTCACCAGCATCCCAGGGTGTTGAATATGTGGGAGGGGCACAGACCCTCTGTCTTTAAAATGCAGGGAGCCCTGGCCTGCAGGATAAAGTCTCTGGGAAAACAAAACAAAAAACAAAACAACAACAACGTTTAAATAGGACCTGGGCAGCTCTGGCCCTCAAACATTTGAGAGAATATTTGTTTGATGACCAAAGCTTGGAAAGGGAGGGGGGGTCTAGACTGTCCTTTAAAACTTAAGTTGGTTTTAACTGAAGCACCTACCATTCTGGAGAAAGGGAAGGGGGAACGCACGCTCCGCACAAAGCAGGGGGTAAGTGGGTGTTATCCTAAGGAGCGTTGCCTCCTCCCTCCCGCCCACCTTTGTCTCCGGAAAGATTTTTTTTTTTTTTAACTCAAAGACTTCAGGTGAAAATAAAGCAACTGCAGCAGCAGAAAAAAAAATTTAGTCTTTTTTAGGGTTAACTATCAGAAGACAAGCTTGCGCTGCTTTGGCCAATCAGATCCGCCCCTGCTGGCTATAATATAGCACGGAGGGCAGCCTGTCTCGCAAGCTCTCCCGGCTTGCTACCATTTAAAATCAGACTCTTTTTGTCTTTTGATTGCTGTCTTCAGCCCCAACTCCGATGTGTTCCGTTATCAGCGACCAGCAGCCTGCCGTGCCAGCCCCCGTCTGGGTGGGGATCGGTGGCCAGTCTCCCGCAGCCGCGGCGGGCGAGGTTATATAGGAAGAGAAAGAGCCAGGCAGAGAGCGAGGGAGCCAGCAGCGAGCCGAGCGAGGAAGGGAGAGCGCAAGCCCCGGCGCACAGGCACACGCGCTCGCACCCGCGCACACAGCCCCGCGCGGGGACGGCGTGGAAGGCGCTGGGCGCCGCGGACAAGATGCTGCCGCTGGGGAGACGTCTGCTGGCGGTGCTCGTCTCCGCGCTGCTGCTGTGCCCGGGGCTGGCGTGCGGACCCGGCAGGGGATTTGGGAAGAGGCGGCACCCCAAAAAGCTGACCCCTTTAGCCTACAAGCAGTTTATCCCCAACGTGGCTGAGAAGACCCTAGGGGCCAGTGGAAGATATGAAGGGAAGATCTCGAGAAACTCGGAGCGATTTAAGGAACTCACCCCCAATTACAACCCCGACATCATATTTAAGGATGAAGAAAACACAGGAGCGGACCGGCTGATGACTCAGGTAGAAACCCAGCGCCGGGCGCGCAATGTGCTGCTTTCACGGGGGGGCTGTGTGTGAGCAGCCACTCCGACCGAGTCTGCGGGCTCCTCCCGGGGACAGCAGGGCGACTTGGCCCTCTCCCTCCCCACCCACCTGCCCGCCGCCACCCCTGCCTCTTCCCCGAGGGGAGCGGAGGTGAGGGGTCCAGCGGGAGAAGTTTAGGGTGGGGTGGGGGTCAGGGTGGCAGGTGTGTTCCACCCGTGGCCCTGATTTGCACTGTCCTGCTGGGATGGCCTTCCCATCCCGCCCCAGCTCTGGCTGGTAACTTGGGGAGACCTCGGCTCTGGGGGCATCACGGCCCTCCCGACTGGGAATGGGAATGACGGGAGGGGGGCAGAAATCCCCCTAAACATAAAGTGGCTTCCAGGTCACTGTACAAATGCAGCCTTGGGCAGGAGACCGGGGAGCTCGCGCCTTCCTTTCTCCACTGTGCTCTCCTTTCCCACCAGCACGCCCACCCCGCCGCCCCCCACCAAAGACGCCCAGTGGGAAAAGCAGGGAGGCCGTGCTGACAAAAGGCAGGGGCTCCCCAGGCTCCGCCTGGTCCCTGAGTGCCTCGCGCAGCTCCACTCCCGGCGCACCCCGGGCAGCGGTGCCCATCAGAGTGTGAACGTATTGATATTTCTTTAAGGATGCGCGTCCATTCTCCCGGGCCGCGGTCCTTGAGGGGAGGGACTTAGAACTTCCCGGCGTTGCATCACTCGGGCCAACCTGCGGGCACGCAGCGAGGAGCGCCTCGGTGTGAGCGGGAGGGGGCTAGGACGGAGCACCCAAGCCAAACTCGCGCCCCCCTCCCTCCGCACTTCTGCTCCAGCCTTCCGGCTGCCAGTCTCCCCGCCAACCCCAGACTTTCTGAAACTCCAGGCACGTATAACTGAGCTAGAAATGGACTTCCTGGCAAATATAGGTCAACATCCTTTTTATTGCCCTATTAAAACAGCCAAGTCCTATCTGCGGGGCTCGGAGCGCACCGCAGCTGACGGAGCAGCGGCGGCGGGGCGCAAGGACAGGGGAGGGTGGGCGGGGATGGCGGGGCGGGGAGCCCCCTCCGGGCCGCTCGCGTCCCAGCCGGATTGGGGCGGCCAGGCCGGACGGAGGAAGGAGACGCGCAGCCGCCCGGAGCGGACCGAAGGGGCCGAGGGAGCGACCACCGGGTCCTTATCGGCCTCCCCCTCCCCGCGCTCGCATCTGCTCGCGACCACCTTAAATCCGGCCGCGAGTGTGGACGCGCGCCTGTGCCCGCGAGCGGCGCGAGCGACAATGAACTCCGCGCAGGCCGCGGGGCGCCGGGGGCGCGGCCGGCTGCGGGGACTTCTCCGACCTGGGTCCTCTCGCTGCCCGCGCGCGGGGGGCGGCCTTCCCGGAGTCCCTCGGAACCGGGGGCAGCGGGAGGCGAGGCCGGGAAGGCGGCGGGGCGGGAGGCGGGGGGCGGCGGAGGTCCCGGAGCCCGCGGGGTCGGCGTGCGCGCGGGGCCGACGCCGGCGAGGGGCCCCCGGGTCCCGCCGCAGGTCGCGGAGCCGCGAGCGCGCGGAGCCGCGCACCCCGGCGGCCGCACCTCGGCGCCCCTTCCTCCGGGGCGAGCGGTCCCCGCGGCCGGGCTGCGGCGCTGGGCTCGGGCCGGGGCCGCGGGGGCTCCGACGGCCGGCACGGTCGGGGTCGCCGGGGGCGCAGCGCGGAGCCTCGGGCCTGGCGGCCCCGCCGAACCCCCGGCCCCGGTCCCTCTTCCGGCCGCCCGCCGGGGACCCACGGCCGAGCGACCCCGCGCCGGCCACTGTGGCCGCGGCGCGCGCTGGCAGCATTTGAACTTCTGACCTTCTGTCAACTTCCCTCAGACGAACGAAACGAAAACAAATACTTTTTTTCCCTTAGGCAGTGGCCATTCCCATTCCCAGCACAAAAGGACGGGGGAGGGGCAGCCGACGTGGGGGTGGGGTGGGGAGAGCCGGGCCAGAATCGTATCGCGCACCCCGCAGATGTCCCCTGAAAACGCGGGTGGCCGGTGGGGCGTGCTGCCCGGCGCCCTGCGGGTCACCCTCTCCCGCCCTCGCTTCTTCCCGGGCTCTAAGGGTCGGGGCGGGGGCGGCGGACCGGGGGTGAAGGGCAGGGCCAGGGGCGAAGGGCTGAGGCGGGAACGCCTCCCCGGCCACCGGAGCTCAGCGCTCCTCGGGGACCTGTTCCCCCGCTGGCCCCACACTTCACACCTGCACCCAGCTTCTGCCCTGGGGGCGCGCGTCCCTCGTCCCCGGGCTGGCCGTCCCTCCGCGCCTCTCCTGTCTGTCTCTCTAACGTGACTGCCGCCCAAGTCCCTCAACCATGGCAAGACCGTCCCCGGTGGAACTTTCAGAGCAGTTCTGGAACGCAGGAGCTCCTGGTTAATATTAACTCGGAGAGGGGGAAGCGCAGACAGACACGCTCGCCCCGCAGGCGCGGGTGCCAGGCGCGGGCGCGGCGGCCGGGGGTTCCGGGGGCAGGAGGCGGCCGCCGGGGCAGGGCCTGAGGCCCGCGAGAGGGACAGTCGGGGACGCCACGCCGAGTAGATTTCTGTGTGCGTGGCCGGCCCGGCGCTCAGTGGAGGGTTCGAGGAGGGTGTTCCTGTTTGGATAGGAGGGGTCCGCTTTCCCAGAGTGGGGGCAGGGGCGTGGAGACAGGTGTGTGGGCAATGGGGGGGTCTCCTTTGAAGTTGGGACACCCCTCCCCCGCACTGGGAAAGCCTGGCGGCCGTTGGCGGTGACAGTCCTGCTCGGGCTTCTGGGCACGGGGCGGCTGCGGAGACCGGGGAGGTGGCGAGGGCTCAGACGGGGGGGTGGGGGACCACCTTGGCCTCCGCCTCCCAGAAGCCCGGCCCGGCGGCCCCGCTGCGCTTGACGGTGGCAGCACCGAGCCGGGCCGGATTCGCGGCGCACGACCCAGTGAATCGCTGGCCGGCCTGGGCCCCGCGCCTCTCCCGCCGGCCGGGCGCAGAGCGTCCTGCAGGCACCGGGCCGCGGCCGCGCCACGCCTGGGGGAGCCCGGGAAGGGCGCGCGGGGAGCGGGGCGTCGCTCGGGCCTGGCTCGGCCTGGGGCTCCTCGCCTGGGGCCCTGCACCTCGTGCCCTGGGGGCGCAGCTCCGGGCGGTGGGGGCCGGAACGTGGCCTCCCCATCCCACCCTCCCCTCGCCAAGCTGCCCCGCGGAGAGCGGTGGAGGCTTCATGTGATCCCCAGAAGAAGAGAGCGGGGCTGCCGCGGGGCCCGGGACGCGGGCGGTGTGCGTGCGCGTGTCGGCGGAGTGCGCCTGCGCGGCCGGCCTCCCGCCCGGCTCGGAACTGACCCTGGTTTACTGATTGATTTTCATGTAAAACGCGTTCAATCCTCAAGATGACCTCACTTAAACTCTGCCCATCTGACTTTTTTATTATTATTGTTATTACAGAAGATGCTGGCGGGCCCAGAAACCTTGCCAGCGCCGACCTGTTAGCAGGGCCGCCCCCAGCCGCCGCCCCCCCCCCATTTGTTGCATGTTTAACCCTACAACCGTATGGCCGGTTTTTATGGCCGGCCAACGCACAGCGCTTTCCTGTTGCGCAGTCTTCACCGCCCCACGAAGCGCGGACAGCAGCACCAGCCAGAGCTCCCTGCCCGCTGGGTCGGAAACCCCCAACCTGCTAGTAGGGTCCTCCACGGAGTCTTCCTTCCACCCTGCTTATGGGGTTCCACAGCCCTGGCGGGGATCAGCCCTACCCTCTGCGGAGGTCAACTTGAAGTTGTCCTGCTGCCCTGGGTCTGGCTGTCCCGAGAATACCCCTTCCTGGTCCCGCCACCATTTCCCTCCTTTGAATCCCGCACCCCAGCACCACTGTACACTCCCCGGTAGCGAGTTAGTGCAAACACACACTCGAACTTGCCACGGCTGCTTTCTCTTGCATCCTTCTCCGAATGTGGCCCGAGAAGTACAGGGGAGGCTCCCCCAACCCGAGTTCCACTCGGCCCTCGCCTGTGTCCTGCGCACTCAGTGTTTCTCCGCCAGCACAGCCCCCGCAGCTTCCTCCTGGGTGGGGTGGGGGGTACTCCCCAAAGGTTCTGAGGCCTCGGGCCTCTCTGGCTCCCCATCCCCCACCCCTCACACCCCACCCCCTCCCGCGCCCTCCCTTCCTTCGCCTCTTAAGTTTGCTCTTCAAACTTGCAGGACGCCATTCTGCTCTGGGGCCAAGAAAACAAGGGGGGGAGGAAGGGAACAGGTTAAGGAAAACAAGAGACACAATCAGACCACAGAAAAGCCCAAGAAAAGAGGGCTATGGAGAAAAGGAATGTGGCCGTCCAGATAAAGAATGTCTGTCGTCAGGCCTGGCCCACACTGAAAATCATAACTCACCTGCTTGCCTTTCACTTGGGCCCCCTCCCGCCCCCTCCCTGTGGCTATCAGCTTCCCACCTCCCTCCCGCCCTTAGGCGGGATCCAGGGCTCAGATAGGCACAGGGCGAAGAGGGAGGGTCCAGAGATAACCCAAGGCTTCTCATTTTGTAAGAACCGACCCGCCGGTTCTTTATTTCTCCTAAGTTGCACCCTGGGCCTCTCTCCAGCCTCCTGGTGAGGGAGTTAGGCTGGGCCCAAGGGTGGAGCCTTGCCCAGGTGTGGAGAAATGGGGCCACGGAAAGGGGTGGGAGGGGAGTGGAGGGCATCTCTGGGGAGGAGTGAGCCATTTGGGGGGGGGGAGGGCAGTGCCTGGCAGGCCCTGCATCACTGTCTGAGACACACGCAGTTTACTTGTCTCAAAAAAATGTCATCTCCTCCTCTGGCCATGCTAGGATCTCTGCTGGCTCAGATCTGGAGACAGGCCCTCGGTCCCTCGACCTCGAGAGGACTGGTGCCTCCAGCAGACGCAACCCCGCCCTTGCCCCTAGTGCACCTCCACCAAGTGAGCTGAGCGCCTCCCAGGCCTTGTCCCCCTACTTGTCCACGGAGCCCTTATCCTCAGGGACTGGGTCAGGCAGACCATGTGGGGACCGGGGTGGGCGGCAGACCCAGGACTAACGTCTGCGGGGCCCCTTCTCTCCGCAGAGGTGTAAGGACAAGCTGAATGCCTTGGCCATCTCGGTGATGAACCAGTGGCCCGGCGTGAAGCTGCGGGTGACGGAGGGCTGGGACGAAGACGGCCACCACTCAGAGGAGTCGCTGCACTACGAGGGCCGTGCCGTGGACATCACCACGTCGGACCGTGACCGCAGCAAGTACGGCATGCTGGCGCGCCTGGCCGTGGAGGCCGGCTTCGACTGGGTGTACTACGAGTCCAAAGCCCACATCCACTGTTCCGTGAAAGCAGGTGAGGTGGCGGGCCCAGCCTTCCCCACACCCCCACCCGGTGCCCGCAAAGCCTCCCCACCCACCCGCCTGACAGCTCCAGAGCTGCCCCTGAGTCGTGGCCATGGTGCTCCACGGTGGGATCCAAGGGCAAGAGACAAATGCTTGTGGGCTGGGGGGAAGCAGGAGGGGCAGGGAGGGCTGGAACCGGGGGATAACTCGTGTGTCTGGTGTGGGGTCGCAGCCTGTAGAAGTGGGGAACTGCCCCTGCCTTTGAGCTGCAGAGGCCTGAGGGGCTCCAAGCCCAGCCGTGGAGGGCATGTGGCTTCCTGAACCTCCCCCCACCCCGTTTCCGGAGGCTCCCCCCCTCACAGGTGGTGGAGACAGGGAAGATGGGGGAAGGGATCTTGCTGGGGCACTGGTGGCTAGGTCTGGCCTAGATCGTTCCTCTTGTTTAAGGCTTAAGAATCAGCCCAGGAGGGTCTGCCCAGGGTATAAGCCCCTGGCCCTCTTTCCTCCCTGCTGAGGGTCTGTGGACACTAACCTGACACTAACTGGCCGGCTAAGCCTCTGGGGAGAGGCCTGGTGGGAGGTACTAAACGCCGTGGCTCCCGCTGCCAGCATCTGGAGGCCGGGAGCCGGGAGCATCTGTCCTGATTAGGAGCCCGCTGGGTTGGCCTGAGCCGCAGGCAGGGGTCAGGAGTAGGATGGGAGTCTGCCGCTGCGGGCAGCCGGCCCTGTGCTGGTGGCTTGCCTGGGCCTACACCGCCACACGCTGTCGCTGTCGAGAACAGCCAGCCGGGAAGGCTTGGCACCCACCGCAGACCTCCCAGCTCCCAGGCTCTTTCTGCGGATCTCTCCGTCTTCCCGCAGAAGCTGGTGCATTTAGCAGAGCAGTTCCAGTGAATTTCGGAGGCACCGGGCCTTCCCCGCAGCCCGCCCCCCGCCCCCGTTGCCTACTTGTCTCCTAAACTGTGTCTTAGCAGCATGTGTTAGTAGAAAAACACTTTCAAGGCGTCAAGACACACTTGGTAGGGAAGGAAAATAGTGGTTTCTTATCACAACAGAAAGAAAAGGTGTGGATGGGGCGGGGGGCCGGCTGGGCTTCAAGCCAGAGAAAGGGGGGACGGGCAAGCGGTGTCCCCACTTCGCGGGGCTCCGCGGCGGGAGGCCTCCGGATGCGCCCTTCTCGGGACCTCGCGGTTGCGCTCCCGGGGCGCGCGGCCCCCTCCTGGGCCAACCTGCCCGCGGGGTCCCCCTGGCGGGGGTCCCTAGAGGTGTCCTCGCGAGTGAGCAGCGGTAATCCCGCGCGGGGACCGGGATTCCGGGCCGGGGAGGGCAGCCCCCGGGGGGGGGGGTTGCAGAGCCGCTCATCGGCATTCGGCGCACGCGGGCGGGGCGCGGGGCGCTGCGTGTCAAGCAGGGTCGTGCGACTGGACGACTCGGGCTCGCCCGCGCCCCGGGTCGCATTCCGGGGGGCGCCGGCGGGCCTCCAACGGCCAGGCCCGCACTTCATGCCGCAGAAACCGATGAGAAGATTAAAAACCCTCTGTAATTCCGGCAGAAGATTCTCTCTCGCATCTCTGTTTGCGGAAAGCATGATCCCGGAGACTGGAATGCGGAGCCCTCCCCGCCCCTCCTCCGCGGCCCCCGCTCCCCGCCCCGCTCCCGCCATTGTCCTCGGACGGGGAGCCTCAGAGCGCGACCGAGGGCTCGGGAAAGCGGGGAGTCCGGGGGCCTTGAGAACCGGCCGCTGCCCGCGCTCGGAGCAGGCCCTGCCATTTAAAATTCAAATACGCGTCCTGAGAGCCGGCGAGAGGTCTGGCTGTGCAAACAGAGCTTGTGGGGCCCGGCCTGGAGAGCCCGCGCGCGGACCGCGGGGGGCGGGGAGGGGCGCACCTGAGCAAATAGGGAGGGGGCGGCGAGAGGGGAGGGGGAGATGGAAGTAGCCCCTCTTCCAAGAGTGTCTCCCGTTGATTGCCGAGAGCGCGACAATGCTGGGCCCTTCGTGGGATTTTAATTAGAAGATCCACACAAGCCCGGGGTTTTCGCACCTCCGCCGGCTCCCTGGAATGTTTGTCCCGTTGCTACAACGACCACAGCTATTTTTCACCCCGCCCCCCGCCCCCCGGTCCCCGGCAAGCGGCCGCACCAAGGCCCCCGGCGGGGCTGGACGCCGGGGGGCGGGCAGGCGACGGGTCCCCGCGGCTCAGGCGGGGTGCGGGGCGCGCGCGGGAGCGGGGCGGTCGAGGGAAGGAAGGAGGCGCCCCCCACCCCGCGCCCGAGGGAGCTCAAGGAGGCTTCCGGCGGAATCCAAGTGCAGAGCAAACACCCTGCGAACTCAGGGCGAGGTCGGGTGTGCGCCGAGCCGGGGGCTAGGGCGGGAGGAGGGCGGAAGGGAAGCAGTGCAACCGGCCTCCCGCCGGAGACGCCAGCCGACCCTTGTCGCGGCCGGTCCGCCCCTAAGAGCGCCGTGGAGGAATGCGTCTGCGTCTGAATTTTGTCACCGAGACGGTGGGGCTGCGGGAGCGAGGCCGGCCGCACCCGCGGGGGCTCTGTCTCCCCGGGGCCGCGCGCCTGCCCCACTCGTGCCTCCCCGTGGGCGCTGACCACCCCGTCCCCTCTTCTCTCCCTCCTCCGACCCCCGCAGAGAACTCGGTGGCGGCCAAGTCCGGCGGCTGCTTCCCGGGCTCGGCCACGGTGCACCTGGAGCAGGGCGGCACCAAGCTGGTGAGGGAGCTGCGCCCCGGGGACCGCGTGCTGGCGGCCGACGACCAGGGCCGGCTGCTCTACAGCGACTTCCTCACCTTCCTGGACCGCGACGACGGCGCCAAGAAGGTCTTCTACGTGATCGAGACGCGGGAGCCGCGCGAGCGCCTGCTGCTCACCGCCGCGCACCTGCTGTTCGTCGCGCCGCACAACGACTCGGCGGCCGGGGAGCCGGAGGCGCGGGCGGGCGCGGGGCCGCCGCCGGGGGCCGCGCCGGGGCGCCGGGCGCTCTTCGCCAGCCGCGTGCGCCCGGGCCAGCTCGTGTACGTGGTGGCGGAGGGCGGCGGGGGTCGCCGGCTCCTGCCGGCCGCGGTGCACAGCGTGACGCTGCGCGAGGAGGCCACGGGCGCGTACGCGCCGCTCACGGCGCAGGGCACCATCCTCATCAACCGGGTGCTGGCGTCGTGCTACGCGGTCATCGAGGAGCACGGCTGGGCGCATCGGGCCTTCGCGCCCTTCCGCCTGGCGCACGCGCTCCTGGCCGTGCTGGCGCCCGCGCGCACGGACCGCGGCGGGGCCGGCCACGGCGACGGCGGGGGCGGCGGCCACCCGCCCCTCCCCGCGCCGGGAGCGGCCGACGCGCCGGGCGCCGCGGGCATCCACTGGTACTCGCAGCTTCTCTACCAAATAGGCACCTGGTTGCTGGACAGCGAGGCCCTGCACCCGCTGGGCATGGCGGTCCCGTCCAGCTGAAGGCTGGGGAGCCGGGGAGGGCGCGGGGGCGGGAGGGGCGGGCGGCGGGGGGCGCGACAGCGAGGAACAGCAAAGGACACACGGAAAAGCGCACGGAATGAGACTTTAATTATAATAATAATTAATAATAATAATAATAAAGTAGGACAGTCCAAAGTAGACTATAAGGAAACAGAGACCCCGGGAAGTTTTGTCGTTGTGCTTAGTTTATATATATTTTTTGAATTTTTTGGTTGTTTTATTTTGGTTTTTTTTGTTGTTTTTTTTCACCTCTCCTGGCTATTTATTTGTTTGGTATGAATAGATGTTTTAAATAATATGAACCGGACCTTCAAGAGCCTTAAATAGTTTGTTTCTCGGATAATTTATTATTATCATGTGAACTGTACTCACGGGGGAAAGATTATTTTGTGAGGCCAAGCGACCCGCTCAGAGTCTATTTTTCTACACGTCCCTCGCCCTAACTTTCAGAAAGCAAAACTCTGCACTCCGCACTCCTCCTTTCCACGCCTGCTTTTCGGCAAGAGTAAACTGAAACATGCTTCATGGGGGTCCACAAATTATATTTTTATACACAGAATTGTAAATTAGATTTTTTGAGAGATCAATACTTAACTGAATGACATTTCATTTTTGAAATAGTGTAAAATATGAAAATATATTATTTTAATTTAACTAGTTTCCAGTGTAACAGCCACCTCCTGTATGTCTTCAAGGGTTAATATTTGCTCCATCATTTCCATTTTGGCCATGTTCTTGGAAGTCAAGACTGTTACACACACACACACACCGTTTTTCTTTTTTTCTCTTCTTTTCTTTTTTTCTTTTTTTTTTCTTTTCTTGGACAAACTGGAAGAACTCTGTTATTTTTAACTTCAAAGAATTTATTAGAAAATAATATTTTTTAAAAGCGCACATAGTGATAAGCCCACAAGAATGGAGCCTGTAGTTTGTACAGAGAAAAACAAAGGATGTTTTTGCATTAATAAATTGAGAAATTACTGCTGTAAATTTACTAAAATGTATTTTTGAATATTTTGTAATAGTTTTATAGAAATAAAATGTGCCACGCACAGACTGGTTAGTATATAATAACTAAGAACTCCTGTTGCAGCCCCGTTTTCTTTTCTGTTCTGGCTTCTTTGTCTGGGAAACCTGGTGCTGACAGGAGTGCCCAGCGTGACCTTTAGATGTGTTGCTTATACTGTGAATTCAGATCAGCTTAAGTAGGAAACCAAAGTAGGAAACCAGACCAGCTTGTTTATTTCCACCGCTGGAGAGACCTCAGCTCTGTTCCTGTTTGTCGTGGGAGCCTGTCTGGGCGCTCCAGAGGCTGGGGTGCTGTGTGCTCCATAGCCGTTCTGCTCTCAGCCCCCAGCCCTGAGCTAGCGCAGCCCGGAACTCTCTCCCCGTGCTCCATGTACTTGTCGGCAGACCTCGTGCCCTCCCCTGGGTGGCCCCCACTTGGAGAGCCTGGTCCTCTGGCCTCGAAGGGAGGAGGCCCCTAACTGTTTTGTGAAATCCGGGGGTGCCATTTCCAGATGGGTCCCCAAGGAGAGGGTCAAGTGTTTACCTTCTCTGAGCCCCCCCGGGACCCTCGTGGCAGATCCACTGAGAAGCGCACATTCTCCACCTGCTCCCGGGGGGGGGGGGGCCCGCACCCCACCCCCGCATTCACAGCTGCTCGTCTCTGGGCTGCTGGGGTCCTTGGGCCACGTTGGTGTTGTCGAGTCCAAGCCGTCTGTCTGGAGTGGTTGTTCGGTGTAGACTTTCCTCCCTAGGGCACGGTCCCATTTTAGTGGACACCCTGTGGCTGGTGCCCTAGGTCAGCTGCGTCTGGAGGGAGAAGTCCTCAGGCTTGGCATGTGTTAGAGACTGAGCTGAGAGGGGCTCGGCCCTTGGCTGTCACTCTCAGCGTTCTGGTGCATCAGAGGCTACTGTCCCGACGTGTGCTTTGGGCCCAGTGTGTGAGCAGGCTCGGCTCTGGGAGGGAGGCTGCATGCGAACAGGGCCTCCGAGCACCCTCAGCCTGTCTGGAGGCTGGTTTGGGTCCCGGGAGCAGAAAGGAGCCCGATGGCTTCAGGAAGGGGCTGGAGATGCTGTGCATAAGGCCGGGCCTGGGGTGGCGTCCTTAGCCAGAAGCACAGACCCCCAAAGGGCGGCTGTGTGGCGGGTCCAGTGTGCTGGGCCTCTTCCAGGAGGCCGTGAGCCTGGAAGGACGGCTTTGGGGCCAGGGGACCCGGCCCACACCCCAGAGCCTGCCCTCTGCCAGCTTCCACGGGGCCGGGCCCTCCAGCCAGGAGTGGTCCTCGGTTGGTCTCTGTCAAAGACTTTCCTTTGGTCTTCTAGGTGGTTGGCAGGTGCGAGGTTCGCGGTCCCTGGTGGAATTTGGCGCTTTCAGGCCTGTTGACCGTCCCGTTCTGAGTCTAGCCCTGGCGTCCCCAACAGCTCTGGTTTCGTGGATTGCCTGACTCGTTAGCAGTCAGCCTGCTCAGCCCAAGGGAGCATTGGTGCGTGGGCCAGGTCCCAAGGGACCCATCTGTTGGGGACCACCAGTGTGGGGGCACCCTGGCCTGACCCCCCTATAGTTGCGAGCGGTGGCAGCCCCCTCACTGCTGCTCCGCCCTCCCTGCTCTACGTCCACAGCCACTCACCCACCTTCACATTCAGAATCCTCCGTCTCGTGGCCGAGAAAAGGGAGCCACGCCGTAGGGAAACCCGATACGGGCACCAGAGGGTGCGGTCCGCTCCCAGGGGACGCAGTGTCCACTGCGCCCTCCAGGTGCGTGGGGTGGAGAGTCTGTGCGAAGTGTCCCCGTGGTGTCGCCGCCGCCTCCCTCGTGACTAAGTGCATACCTATTCCTGTCAAAAGCGTGTATCACAATGTACTTGAAACTGTTCTCTTTGTGCTCTATGGTTTGAATAATTAAAGCAGTTACAGAGACCTCCGGCCCTGTCTGTTCTGTGGCACGAATCCTGTTCCCCGCGGTCCTCATATTGTGCTGAAAGGTGAAAGGCAAAGTCTCTGGGAGGCCCCAGCCGCGCAGGCCTCGGTGGCGGGGTATGACCCGGCTGGGGAGGGCTCCCCCGCGCGGATGCACGGGGCTGGGACATTCAGGGGACAAGGTGGCGCTGTCCAGTCCTGGTGGAGGCCCTCGGCTGCCGGCATCACACCCGCACGGCAAACATGGGCCAGACCTGCAAAGAATGCCAGTTGGTTGCAAGATTTGGCAAGAAAGTGGCAACACCCCGGCGGTGAGCCAGCGGCAGGGCTGGTGCGGGGCAAGCCCTCTGACTGCGTTCTGAGCTCTCCAGTGACGTGTCCTTCCGAAAGGACGTGGTAACTCGGAGGGGTTGGGAGGGCCTGGGAGGTGGGCTTTCAGGCAGCTTCTCATGAGCAAGTCACCGGACACGTGGTGAGCCCTGGTTTGGGGCATGTGCTCTGCTGGGCGTACATTTTCCGACAGGGGTTGGCAAATGACAGCCATGAGCTACAGGTTTTTACATATTTTTTTTAAGGGCCGAAAAAAAAACCCCTAAAGAATAAGATTTCATGACAGGTTAAAATTATAGGAAGTTCAGACTTCTGTGTCCATCCATAAAGTTATCTCAGAGCACCCTGTCCCCCCACACCTCGCCCCACCCCGGCTAATTCCTTCGCACTCTGTCTGGCGGAGCCTTGGGGCACAGAAGATGCTTCGGGAGCCACGTGACCCACAGAGCCTGAGGTCTCTACTCACTGGACACTTACGGAGACAGTTTGCCACCTGTGGTCTAGGATGGGAAGACTTTGGCTGTGCCGCGGAGGCAGGAGGCTGGAGCGGTGTGTGCACACTGGCAAAGCCCCCTCCCCGCCCACTTCTGTCCTTACTCAGAGCCACGGAGAGGGTGGCAGATTCAGGGAGAGCCACCAGCAGCCGCTGGGACCTGCGGCATAAGAGGCACAGTTGAGCCCGGAGCCACTGTGCGCCAGCCCGGAAACGACCTGTCACGCAGGCGGGGCAGGGACCAAGAGCCGCGGAAGACGGGCTCCGTGAGAAGAGCCCCCAGGGAAGAAATCAGTAAGTCTGGATTTGAGATCATCTTTCTCTTTTTGGGCTGAGTTTGATTTTCTCCAGTTAAGAAGAAAGCCCTTAAGAAATAAAATTCACATTTTATCCTCTAAGCAAGCTCAGGGTCCTGCTCCGCGAGACGTGGACACGGAATATCACCTTTTTAGTGTGTGTCTGTGGTTCTTGCCATGGGGGCCGCTGTGTCCCCAGAAGGGGAGGAGCTGGCCTGAGTAAGGGGGCTGGAAAACCTGAACACGAGATAAATTAGAGTAGATATTATGCCCAGAACCCAAGGAAACCATGGCCCCAAACAAGAGGTCTCCGTTTCTGGACGCCATCCCCCAGGTCAGGGCCTAAGTGTTTGCTTCCAGGGAAACTGACGCCCTCTCCACCGGGAGCCGCCCCTCGCCCTGCGCGGGATTTCCTTCCTCCACACCCAGGAGAGGGCAAGGATTCGCTTTGACAACCTGCCTCTGCCAGGCAGATACACACGCCGCCCCGGGGCCCTGCATCCGCCTCCCTGCCGCCGACCGTGACCTCCGCATCCTAGCACACCCCTCGGCCAGGCTGTGCCCAAGCTGCTGGCTCGGTGCCGGGCCACCCAACGGGAGGCCACGCACAGGCCGCCGCTGAGCAGGAGCCTGTCCCAGAGGCAGGGTGGTGGAAGGAGGTGGTGGGGCCCGACATTTGCCGTTTCGGATCGACCCCCACGGGAGGGCTCCGGCCCGAGAACACCAAGCACCCTTGCACCCGCCAGCTCACCTCCGGGTTATTAGCGACGCCGGCCGGCCGGCCTTGTGCTTGCTCTTCCGACTGGGTGCTGCCTGCGGGAAGGCACAGTCCTCGTTCCGAGCGGGGCTCTGAGCTCTGCGGTGAGCCTCGGCCCAGCCCCCAGCCCCCGCTCCCTGCAGGACCCCCGCCCCCGCCCTCTGTAGCCAACTCCCTTCCACCCCCCAGCCCGCCCACGGGCAGCTCCCACTGCCGGCTGTGCACCGGCCCTCCCGGCGGGGTCCCCGCTGCGCCGCCCTGCCCGGGTCCAGGGCCTGGGGAAGCCTGTGGGAGCAGGAGGCCGCCCGCCCCTCCCGGCTGCAGGCCACGGCCCTGCGCGCGGGGAGAGCTCCTGGCAGCCGCCCGTGCCCTCCACGCTGCCCCTGGTCGTGCCAGGCTGTGTGCGAGGAGGGTGGGAGCAGAGGGAAC